CTCTCCGGGCTGGGTAGACACTGTGCCTGCGGAGGAACCACCTTGCATATCCTGGCAACAGTTTGCAACAAGCTTCTCGCTCTCCAGCCAGTCACATCTCCTTATATACAAACCACAATGGGATGACCTGGGATCCCAAGGCTTGTGCTGCTCACGTGGCCCCGAGGGCATGGGTATTTCTGAGAGCATCAGAGATTGGATACACTCGGCTTTATCTGGAATGTTGGAAAGGACGGAGGAATTCTTTTCTAACCCTGGAATTAAAAGACTGGGAAGTATTTTCTTCTGCCCCCGAGGGAGGGCCCCCGAGACTGAGAGCTCCCTCTGCCAGTCCCAGTGTGGATTGCATTCAGGCATCCGGTGATGTTTCTTTCACTATCTCACGCACCCACCCTCTATGCCAGCGGTTCTCAACCTGTGGGTCGCAACCCCTTTGGCAGTCGAACGACCCTTTCACAGGGGTCGCCTAAGACCATCCTGCATATCAGATATTTACATTACGGCTCATAACAGTAGCAACATTACAGTTATGAAGTAGCAACGAAAATAATTTTATGGTTGGGTCACAACATGAGGAACTGTATTTAAAGGGCCAGAAGGTTGAGAACCACTGCCTATGCCTTCCTATGTCCCATTATAGATATTCAAAAGCCTGGACTAGACCCCATTTAGAGGTGAGGAAACTGAGGCTGAGAGATCGGCTTGCCAGCTCAAGTCTAAACTCTACCCAGCTTCTGAGAGTCAGGCCTCATTCTACCTTTCTAGTCACAGGTCTCTCATGGTAGTAGCCTCCTAAAAGAATAGATTGGAACTGTAAAGCTTCTTGCACATTTTTATGGTGACATCTAATATTTTTCATCATTAATTTAAAACAATAGTTTCAGAGGGAGAATGTAATTTCTACTCTTTAATAAATATTGACATTTTAATATAAAACTGCCATGTTACCCGTTTAAATATATTGAATAAAACTCAAATCCCAAAGTCATTTGATGCTTACCATTATTCATCTTAAAAATAACATGAACAGCCCAGCCGGCCTGGCTTGGTGGTTGAACGTCGGCCTGTGAACCAGGAGGTCACGGGTTCGATTCCCGGTCAGGGCACATGCCTGTGTTTCGGGCTTGGTTCCCAGTGTGTGGCGTGCAGGAGGCAACCAATCGATGATTCTCTCTCATCATTGATGTTTCTCTCTCTCTCTCCCTCTCTGAAATCAATAAAAACATATTTTTAAAAAATTACATGAACAGCCCTACCTGGTTTGGCTCAGTGGATAGAGTGTCAGCCTGTGGACTGAAGGGTCCTGGCTTTGATTCTGGTCAAGGGCACATTCCCAGTAGGAGGCATGTAGGAGGCAGCTGATCAATGGTTCTCTCTCATCACTCATGTTTCTCTCTCTCCCTCTCCCTTTGAAATCAATAAAAATATATTTTTACAAAATAACGTGAACAAGCTTTTCTTTAGCAATAAAAACATTTTACATTGTTTCTTGTTCTCCTTGTACTTGTATTTCCATTCCTCTTTCCCCTCAACAATCTAATCTTAATGTAACATATTTTATTCTTGGAAGTCTTTTATTGATCACAATATCATACATCTCTGCAACCAAAGTACGTATATAAGTTAAAGTTTAAAAAGAATCTAAGCTTTATGTAACTATAAAGCTCTAAGCGAGAAATTTTTTTCTGGTTTGAGTGGCCATCAGAAATATTAGTAGTACTCAGTTGAGCAAAACAACATAAATATTATGATTTTTATACATATTAAATAAACATAAATAGCCGAAACCGGTTTGGCTCAGTGGATAGAGCGTCGGCCTTCGGACTGAAAGGTCCCAGGTTCGATTCCGGTCAAGGGCATGTACCTGGGTTGCGGGCACATCCCCAGTAGGAGGTGTGCAGGAGGCAGCTGATCGATGTTTCTCTCTCATCGATGTTTCTAACTCTCTATCCCTCTCCCTTCCTCTCTGTAAAAAATCAATAAAATATATTTAAATAAATAAATAAATAAATAAACATAAATACAAAAATGCATTGGAAATGTATTTACCAATGAAATTCATGGACTACTTCTCCCACCCCCACCCTCAGGTAGTTCAGATGTTCACAGTTGAATATTATTTATTAGAATGAGACCGCATTCAGCATCAATTCTAGTTCCTTTTTTATTTTATTTTAAAGCTGAGAAAACTTGTTCACTTCATACGTAGATAGGAAGTGAGAGTTTGATTTAGCAATGGCATCTACTTCTGAGTTGTCTCCCCCCACCCCCAAAAAAATCATAAAGATCTACGATAAAAAATATTGTTAAGGATTCTTCAGGGTTTTGAAAGCAAAGATCCTGCCTTAAAAACCAAAAGAATTTGTTGTCCAGGTTTTGAGCTGCCCACTTTCTCAGCACCTACAGCCCTGCACTAGCATTTCAAATAGGAGCTTCATTTAGCGCTCCAGGAATTTCACCCTCTGGCTAGTCCCCTACTGAAAGACAGCGGACGGGAATGGTGAGCCTCGCTACTGAAAGTAGGGAGGGTGAAATTGTGAAAGAGGAAAGAGTTTTGGTAAACAGAATTCGGAAGCTGAAGATCTGCAAGTTGATTTTCTTTTCTTTTCTTTTTTTAAAATATGTTTTTATTGATTTCAGAGAGGAAGGGAGAGGGAGAGAGAGATAGAAACATCAATGATGAGGGACAATCACTGATTGGCTGCCTCCTACTTGCCTCCCACTGGGGATTGAGCCCTGGGCCCAGGCATGTGCCCTGACCAGGAATCCAACTATGACCTCCTGGTTCATAAGTTGACGCTCAACCACAGAGCCATGCCAGCCGGGCAGCAAATTGATTTTCTTAAAACTCCTTGTACCCTAGAGATACCCACACCAACAAAGGACCACTGATCCTCCCATCCAACACCAGAATCCAGAGTTCCTGCGCCCATAAATGTGGTATGCTGCCTTCTACGTGTATTGTTCCTATGTTTTCCTACTTATTTATTAAACATTTTAAGGACCATCTTGAATCTCAGCTCCTACCTAATGATTCCCCTTTTCCTGAATCCCTACTACACTTAAGAGCTTTTTATATATATAATTTATTTCAGATAGGAAGGGAGAGGAAGAGAGAGATAGAAACATCAATGATGAGACAGAATAATTGATCGGCTGCCTCCTGCATGCCCCGTACTGGGCATCAAGCCTGCAACCGGGCATGTGCCCTTGACCAGAATCAAACCCGGAATCCTTCAGTCCATAGGCCGACGCTCTATCCACTGAGCCAATCCGGCTAGGGCCACACTGAAGAGTTTGAATCTCACTTCCCACCCCTGAAATATGCATCGTGTTATACTGGCAGCTTTGCTTCGTGACACTTTAGATTATAATGAGGCTCTTTGCAACAGAATTTGGTGAACTTGCAAAAGACATGAACTTTGATGCCACATAAGCACATAAGTTCTAGGAGGGCAGGGGTTCTATGTTTTGTTCTGTGTCATGTAGCCAGCATCTAGCACAATATCTGGCATACAGGAAGAGCTTAATTGTTGAATGAACAGACTTGAGTTTGAATCTTACTTCATCCCTTTTAAGCTGTGTGACACCCAGTCATTAACTTTAGAATAAGTTTACTCATGAATTCATTTTTAAAAACATCTGTTGCATGCTTCCTGAGAGCCAAGCACACTGTGCTAGGCACCGGGGACCTACAGGGAAGAAGACACGCCCCTGCCCTCAAGGAACTCAAGCCTCTAGTTTGGGGACTGTTACGAGAAGTAAGGTGGACAGAACAGCCCATGTGCAATCCCAGAGCTGCTAGTAGATCCAAAAGCTAGAGGCATAGGATGTCCGCCTGGGCCAGATGTTCACGGGCCTCTCGTGCCCATGGAATTTAGGGAATGTGAACTTGACTGTCCAGGCTACCACTGAGAGACTGGAAAGTGGGAAGAGTCCGGAACAGATCTGCATTTTAGAAAACCCATTCGGGCAGCCCTAGGGAGAAAAGTAAGCAAGAAGACCCGGTTACTGCTCTTATCCGGTTGGAAGGTGGTAAGGGCCAGAGTAAGGCACTGGCTATGAGACGTGGCCCCAAGAGGATGGATATGAGAGTGACCAAGAAAAGCCAATCAATTGGACTTGGAGACTGATTAGATATGGGGCAAGATGGAGGAGTCAAAGGTGACCATGCAGAGAGAAGATACAAAGGCCTTAGCCATGGCAGTGGCCATGGGGATAGAGGAGGAGTAGATATGAGAGTATGAAGGAGAGAGAATCTACTGGATTTGATGACGGGTTGTGCATGAGGTGGGTGAGAGGGAGGGAGCAAGTCATTCTAGATTCCTAAATCTCTGTCTTAGGTAATAAGGTCAGTGAGTCAGATAATATGAAAAGACCCTAGTGGGGTAGCTCAGTTGGTTAGAGCATCGTCCCAATACACCAAGGTTGTAGGTTCAATCCCCAGTCAAGACACATACAAGAATCAACCAATGAATGCATAAATAAGTGGAACAACAAATTGATGTTTCTCTCTCTCCCTCTCTAAAAAAAAAAAATAATCATCAGTAAACAAATATGGGAAGAGAAGCAAGTTTGGAAAGCTTTGGACAAGTTACCTGACCTTTCTGAGCCTGAATTTCTACACATGCAAAACAAGAGTAATAACATCTACCTCTCAGAGTTGCCATGAGGATTAAGTAACCTGGGAAATTGCAGGGCATAGAATAGGTAGATGCTCAAGAAACACTTTGGTGACACTAATAACAGTTCTTGCTCACGTGCCAAGCACTTAATCCTCACAACACCCCGGTAAGGTAGGTACTATTATGATCCCTATCTTACTAACCTGGGAACTGAAGCACAGCGAGGTATAGAAACGTGGCCAAAGTACCCAGTTAGTGAGTGGCGGAGTGTACTTCCCTAGCCCCTGTACTATATGCCTTATTCTTTCTTGGGCCTATCACTCGGCTTGAGGGAGGAAGAGAGGAAACGGCAGGAAGAATGGACAGCAGACCTGATCAATAATTCACTCCAAGAAGTTTTTATTTGGAAATGTGCCTCCACGACTTGGTGGCAGTCTGGGGCTCATGGCCCCTGGCTTGCTTGTTTACTCTTTTCCAGCCCAGGGCCTAGGATCCTTGGGGTTAAGGCACAGGATCAAGTTTTCAAGGATCAACATCCCAGGCAGCCTTAGTGGCCTGGGGCCTGGGGCTGATGCCAAAAATAAACTAGGTTCCATTCCGGATTGTTTCGTGGTTGGAGGGCCTCGGCCCCTGACACCAGGTCCTCAGCTCCCTCTTTGCAGGGGCCAGTGTCACCCACAGGCCAGCTGTGGCAGGTCCTGGTGGGCATGAGGTTGGGGGGAAAGAGGCTAGCAAAGGCTAGTTTTCTGGTTCTGGGTCCAGTTTATCTTCCTGAGGGCCGGAAGCCGAGATGGGAGCCTCATCCCCACCGTTGAGGGACTTCTGCTGCTCACTGGTGCTGGGTGAGGTGGTCCTGCTGCCCTGGGATCCCCAGCGGGTCAGGCGCTTCAGGGAGGAGTCTCGGCGGGCAAGGAGAGGGGGCTGGAAGCCCGTGAAGGAGCTGCTGGTGGTGGGACGCTTGTCTGGCAGAGAAAAGGCAGGCGTGAGTCAGGAGAAAGGTACTGCGAAAGGGAGCGGTTGACAGGCCTGGCCTCAGCCCTGGGGGAAGAGGACCTTCTGGCCTCCAGCCCTGCAGGCTCTGTAGGTCTGGAGGCGCCCCTCGCCCTCCCTTCGCCCTCCTCACTCCGGGGAGAGCGCCGAGGTCTAGCCCGCTCTCACCTCCAGGTTCAATTGGATGCATGAGCCTGTTCATCTGGACATTCCAGTGTCTCACGTTGGTGCTGGCCTGGCGCAACTTCCGCTTGGCGGCCTGGGGGACACGACACAGCCAGTGGGGAGGGGTCAGAGCCACTATCCAAGACAGGGTGTCTTGACCGTTACAGGAGCACAGGCCCCTTCGGATGTGACCAAGGCTGCTGACCGGCTCCTCAGATAACTCATGCATATTCACAGAGTGAGGTATATATACAGAGTTGGTATCCAATTTCAGGGGACTCATAAGACCCCCCCCCCCACAGGGTTGCAAATAGTCATAATTATAGTTTCCATTTATTAAGCGGCCAAGATGTGTTAAGTATATTTATTATCGTATTCAACCTCCAGAGCAGACGTTAACCACAAACAAGTGCAGAAGAGGTTAAGTGACTGGCCGGGGACACACGCTGACCTGACACCACTGCCCCACCGCCTCTCAGGAACTAGTGTACAAGCCTCTGCTCCGAGGTTCACCCGCCCTTAGCCGCAGGGGGTGGGGTTGTAGAGGAACTTTTCCTTTCCATGTTACATATTTTTGTGTGTGAATTTTTTTTAAAATATATATTTTATTGAATTTTTTACAGAGAGGAAGGGAGAGGAATAGAGAGTTAGAAACATCGATGAGAGAGAAACACCGATCAGCTGCCTCCTGCACACCTCCTATTGGGGATGTGCCCACAACCAAGGTACATGCCCTTGACCGGAATCGAACCTGGGACCCTTCAGTCTGCAGGCCGACGCTCTATCCCCTGAGCCAAACCGGTCAGGGCTATGTGTGAATTTTTTATGATGACCATGTAAGCCAACAAAGGAAGATAAAATAAACACTATTAATAAGAACAAAACATCAAAATATAAAACCTCTCTTCCACAGAGATTTGTGCTTCAAGGAGAGGATGCAAAATACAGGGATAGCAAAATAGGATCTTGGAAGAGAAGGAGGAAAAATTTTGCCCAGATTAATAGTAATGATAAAAATAGCAGCTAACGTAGCCCTGACCGGTTTGGCTCAGTGGATAAAGCATCGGCCTGCGGACTGAAGGGTCCCGGGTTCGATTCCAGTCAAGGGCATGTACCTTGGTTGCGGGCACATCC